GATCCTTGAAAGGCTCTGTTCAGCATTACATTTGGAAGAGTGCAATTTAATTGGTGCAAGACAGCATAGATTTGTGAAAATAAATCATGTCAAACACATTTTATTACTTTTTAAAATTAAATTTCTATTGGACTGGATAGAAGAAGAAACAAGTACATTCAATACAACTGGAGTTTTTTTTTAAAAGCTGCCTGGCAATATTTCTTATCGGTGTTAAGCATACAAGCATACAGATTAGTTTCAGATAGGTTTATGAGTAAATAGTCAAGTGGCAATAGACAATGGGCACTGGGGTTGAAGATCTAGACAGAAACAGCAGTTCTTTAGGATAGCTGGAAAGGCAGAAAAAGCCAGAGGCAGAGAGCTTAAGAGGCAGACAGATTTGAGGTCAAATATTGGCACCGCCACTTACTGGCTTTNGAGGGAGAGGGAGAGGGAGAGGGAGAGAGAAATGCCATTATTTAAGAGTGCTGCACAGGAGGCAGTATCCTTGAAAGATAGTCAGTCAATAGCGCTAACAGTTAAATGTGGGTTGAATCAATGAATGAATGAACAGTAGCTATTATTGCGTTTCTTTTAAACAGCCATGATATGACAGGATAAAGGAGAAACCAAATAAATAATTTCATTCAAGGAGCCGAGATATGCACAGAACATATATAAGGTGTTACAGGAACACACACACACACAAAACCATACAGTAATACTTGTGGAGTGGTGGAGATCTGTGAGACAGGTCAGGGACAGTTTCTTAGAGGAAGGAATGGTTTAAGTCTAAGTAAGCAATTGCTGAGAGGTCAGTTTAGCAGAGGAAGCAGCCTGGGTAAAATCCAAGACGCATGAGAGTATCAGATGACATGAGGCCCAGGCTAAGAGTTATGGCCGCCTCCTTCACCAGTGTTGTATTAAGAAACAAAGGCATAGGGTGAACCTCTAGGTCACCACAGCCATTGGTGTGTGTTACCTTCCAGTGTGTGTATCTGCATGTGTGTTTGTCTGTAAAGTGTGTGTTCCCCCCTTCCTGGCAGGGCGTAGGGTGGTATGAGTGACCAGTAAGTCAATGACCAAGGTGACATGTGGAGACCTGTTCTGGTGCCACCTGTAGGCATACATCGCAAGCACGTGTTCTGTCATTTGCATGAATCAGCCCTAAGAACAAAGACACACACACACACACACACACACACACACACACACACACAAACACATACCCTTGAATCTTGCACACTGTGGTTGGAGAACAGTGCGCTTGAACTTGAAGGGCTGACCCATGTCTAATTCACTCGTGAGGTCCCATCACCAAGCTCAGTGACTGGCATAGAGCACGGACTCAAAAACCATTGGATGCGTTTCATTCAGCCTGCACCAAGGAGCAGAGAAATAGGAGGAATCATTCAGCAACACTGTAATGGCGTATGACAGTACGGGCCTAAGCATATACTGTGCTTTGTATTGGGTTGTTGGAAAAGTCATGACACATTTTTGCAACAAAAAACGTGGGGAAAATGCGTCGTGACTTTTCCGACAACCTAATAGATTTAGAAACACACTGACCAATTAGATCCCATGAATAATGCACTGAGTGACAGGCCATGCTTATCAACTTCTGCTGTCCACAGTAAAAAAACAGCCTGTCCATCAATAAGTGAGAGGGAGTCAAGGCCCCAAGGCGAGACTGGAAAGGGCTGGGACTAGGTCTGTGATTTTCTCATCTGTGGGTCTGTGCCAGATGCAAGATTTGGGAAAGGCATTGAGCTGCAGCAACAAGAAAGCCAGGACTGATCATCAGAGCTGAGTCCCCAGTGTGGGGTAGCTGGAGACGGGCACGTGAATACACTTCGGTGATGATTAGTTTCTCTGCCTGTGCCAAGAGAGCAGTTCCGAGCAATGCGTGAAGCTTTAGCTTAGAGTTATACAAGGTAACGTGTGTATATAGTGCTTGGCACAATAATGGGCACTCAGAATTGATGGGTATGACTTACTACATGAGCCATGGGTGGTGGCAGTTAGCTTGTGACAGGGCAACACCAGCTTTTCTCATCAGTCAGATGCACATGGGGGTGCTTCTACCCTCTGACCTCGGCACAAGTAAGCATGTACTTGGAGAAAAAGGATGCGAAAATGCAGACCTCGCTTCGAGGTGGTGTTGCATCGAAAAGAAGGAAGGGAGTGAGTCAGGATGGGCTGGAAATGATGGGGACTCTAGTGAGAAGGACGCTAAGGCAGAAGGTGCAAAATGGATGAAACAGTGGCCTCAGGGGAAGCGTGACTCTGCTGTTCAAATGTTCACTGAGGGAAAAACCTGGAAAGGTGTGAGGCATTCTGCCGTATTTGGGGACCTTCCATACCACAAAGGCAACACTGAAATTAAGACATAGGAAGACTCTGGTGGCCCGGAGGCTGGTGCAGTGTGTTGAACTGAGAAGTGCCAGCTGAGGTGTCAAGCGAGACAGAGGTGCCTTGGGAAGGAGATATCACTTAAAAAAAGATGTTTTAAATTTCATTTTAATTCTCATGTCTATGGCTGTGAAAATACGCCATCAATTAAAGAGAAAGAGGGCTTGACGGGATGAGAGAAAAACATGGGGATAGTATTTCCCCAAGGGCCTTGTTTGCATGTCCCATGACAAATCAACTAATTGTTTTTAGACTCATTATCTCAGGGAACTAAAGTGTAAACAAAGAGCATCAGAGATTAGTGCAACTGAAATTGGAAAAGAAAATAGAGTTTGTCTAATCATGGTGGGATTTTTCCCCCCCATGGGGCGAGAGCTTGATTCTGATTTCCCAATGTAAGGACACTCAGGGACAATTGATAGACTCTCAGAATCCTGAGATGTTAAGCTGCAAGGGCCCCACAGGTCAAGTCTACCCTCTTATTTTATAAATGAAAGAGCTGAGGTCCAGAGAGGTTCAGTGACTTGCCCAAAGTTATCCTGTGAGTTTCCGAGGGTCACATCAGAACAGGTGCAACTTAGGATAAAACCATCTCAGAATGTACTTAGCTTCTGCCCAGACTTGCTCTGCACCCAGAAAGAAGCACAGCTTTTGCAATAAGCCAGTTCCTCAGCTTCCCTATAAGCAAATTAAGTACTGGGAGATTTTGTTTAGACTTGACCTCAAAAATATGCACTGAACCTGGACAAAATGCATTGCGTTCTTGGTTCCAACAGCATTCTATCACGGCATCTCCTTGCTGGGAAACCTCAGCTGGGCACATGTGTCAGGGTCTGACAGAGTCACCGAGATGCAGAACGTGTGCCTATTTTACAGATGGGATAGAGTGAGGCCCAGAAAAATAACTGTACTACAGTTTCCTGTGTAACTACACAGGAAATAAATGTTGCTGGGGATTGTGGGATCTTTGGCTTCCTGCTACACCTGGGGTGCCAAAAAAATGTATACAAGTGGACACTTTGGTCAACGTTGCTCAAGCAGTGGTTCGCTGTCATCAGAAGTGTCTGGATGGTGATGGGAACCACTCTGAGCACCTCTTGTCATTGCAGAAGTCAAACGTGACTTGTAGTCATCTTTTGTTATCGATATGTATTGAGTATTACAATTTTAATACAGTTTTCCTTTCTTAAAATGTGTGTACATTTTTTTTGGCACCCTCTATATATAGAGTTGTTTTCATTCTATCCTGTGATATAGTTTAACGATACTCAAACTGGAGTTGACACAATTAGTTCCTCTCCATTTGCAAGAGTTGCTGAATGCCTAGGGCAATTCTGTTTGCAAAAGTCAACTTGGTTCTGATGGGCAGCTTCTCTACAACCGCCAAGGGTTAGGGTAGGAAGGTACCTCCAGGGGCCTCAGCCGGACAGGTGGCACCACTAGCACTAGCAGAGCCTACCTCCTGGCTTCTTACCTCTTCTCAGCTGCCTTGTCCCTTTTCACAGCTCTGCGGAGCCATATTGAAGCATGAAGCTAAAGAAGAAAACCTCACTTTTATTTAAAATTTCGACACTATGGTCATTATGAATTTTGTGCATTAATTTTTGTAATATTGCATTAAGATATTTATCTGAATTACTGTTTTTGCACCCATTTAATTTGTGCCTGGGATAGTAGACTGGGTCCAGTTCCGTGCTTCTTTGGGCTTGCTGTAGCCTTTGGGTTCACTGTGTGAAAATGAAGATAAAAATGGATACATTCCACCCATTTTCCAGAGGACTCTAACCTACCCATTCAGATTCAGTTTGCATTGAGAAGTGGACTCATGCAGTCATGGGATGTAAGCTCCATGCAGATTATGCGTGTTTTGTTTTCTGAGGTAGCCACAAAGCTTAGTACAACCCTTAGCACGAAGTAGGAGCACCATTAATAGTTGTGGCTGAAATAAACAAATGCAGTAAAACTGTACAGATTTTAGTGTTTACGATCTACTCACATTTGACTTTCCCTTCAACAGGGTCTCATAGGCCCAGAACCAAGCTCTGGCAGTTCTTTGAGAGCTGAGCTCTCTCTGGTCTGAGTTGGTCACTACAATATGCCAAGCAGATAAAGAAGGCAATGGCGAATTTCAAACAATCCACCACTAATGCTAGATTTGAACTGCAGAGTAGTTCAGATGTGCCCATCTGGGGGCCTTGGCCATGTTTCCGCTCACTTTTTTTTTATTTTTATTTTATAATTTGCCATCTGGCAATAATAGATTTGGTAAGGATTAAGTAAGAATACATGGGGATAAATATAGTGCAAATTTAAGAGTGTGTAATTTCTAATTCCCTGTAAAAGCAAAAATTCTCAGATTTGCACTTGTATATAAACAAAATAGGGGTCAAAAAGAGAAAAAAATGTGATTATGCGCCCGAAATTATGGAATTAGGTTTGTGCCCTTTCTGGATTAATACTAAGCTCGGCTGAGCCTTTCTTTCCTGCCCTGGCTGACCTAGAAAAAGAACTCAGGTGCCTACAAGGCTTTTCCTGGAATAGCTCACGGGTGAGGTGGGGGGAGATTGGGGTGCTGTCTGATTCTGTCACTCTGACACCCACATCCAGGCTTCTCAGATCCTAATGCTGGCGACTTCCCCTCCGTGGCTGTGAGCAGCACATGCCACCAGGGATCCCCAAATCATGCTGTGATCTTTCTGCCTCTCCCATTATCACCAGCAGTATATATTCTGCAGTGAGATTTTAGCCGCCGACAGCTCGGGGTGTTTTGCTAAGCAGCCGAGTCTTCAGCTTTGCCCTTCTGGGGTCCTATCCGATCCTGCAGGGCTAACAGAAAGACATTCTTGTTGGTTTTTCTTTTCCCCTTCTGGAAAGCTGGCAGATGAGACGTGAAAGTGAGGAAGAAGCAAAGAGGTAGGAGAGGAAGGTATCGTTTTCACGTAAGAATTCCCCCTCTAGCCCAGCTGACTTTCGAGTCGCAGGGTAAGTCATTAGCCTGAGGCATCCGGAAGTAGCCTGAGATTTTCTGGATGCCTTTGAAGTCAGAGTTGCTTGTGGGTGAGGCAGGTGGTTTGGACACCAGAGATCTGGGACTCTTAGAAATGTGCCCCAGATCTCTAGTTTAGCCATTGGGCTTGAATAAGGAAAAACCCCAGCCCATTCATTCCCATCTTGCTTCCAGCCCATTCTCCCATCCACATTTACTCAAGGGCATGTCTTGGCAGCCGCTCTGCTTTGCCTGGTTATCACATGAAGATGAAGAGGAAGTTTTGTGTAACAGTCTTAATGGGCAGGTATTATTATCCCCATTTTACAGATGCAACTGCTGAGGCACAGCTGGGTTCATTGCCTTGTCCAAGACCGTGCAGCCTGTAAACGGTGGTCAGGTTTGGATGCAGGCAGTGGGGTTCCAGAGTCTATGCATTTAATGTAGTTTTTTTTTTCTTTCACATAGATGATAGTGTGTGTGTGTGTGTGTGTGTGTGTGTGTGTGTGTGTGAGAGAGAGAGAGAGAGAGAGAGAGAGAGAGAGAGAGAGAGAGAGAGATTGATTAATTGATTCAGGTTTAGAGTTATTCCCAGTAAGAGGTTGGTCTGATGCAAGCCATTCCATCACAGCTGGAGGTGGGAATTTCCTGTGAGGTGATGTTACAAGTGCCTTTCAGTGTGTGGGGGGCCATTGTCAACATCCCACTTCTGACCCTGGGGCTCCAGCGTTCCCGTTCACGCCATCAGCTCCCCAGTGTTTTTTTCTATGTACTCCGAAGTCAGGCAGATTTGGTTTCAGTTCCTTGCACTTTAAGAGCCATGATTGATGCGAAATATTATAGAGATTAAGAAAGGTAGTATTCTTTTGAAAATTAAATTCTCAAATACAGGGTATATGTCAAGGGGCTCATTTTTCTGAATTTTGGAAGCAGTATAGAGGACTACTTAAGAACGGATTCTGAGGCTAGACTGATAGGAGCTGAGAATTTGATTCCAGGTTTTCCCGGGTATTAGCTTATTAGCTGTCTGCCTTACACAAGTCAGGTGACGGGTCTGTGTCAGTTTTCCCACCTTACCAGAGGAAAATTATGGTATATGTCTCATGTTTGTTTGTTTTTTTCCTGTGAGCATTAGGTGAGAAATTCACTCACTACTTAGAATACTGCCTGGTACATGCTAATGACAATATCAGCATTAACTACTGTCATTTAAACCACGGATTTTTTTTGGATATAGAACACCTACTGACTGCGGACTACATAGAAGGCGTGGGGCACACACATCATTCCACCTGAGCTCATGCTCTTGTAGAGGGCTGTGTCATTACCAAAGATGAAGAAACAGATGCTCGGAGAGGTCAAAGGTCTTTCCCAGGGTCCCACACACAGAAATTGGCATGCTCAGTATGTTGACCTGGCTTATTGGTGTCTCATTGCAAGGCTGTTTATCCCCCCATATCTACGAGACCTCAGTGGGGAAGGGGAGAGACCATCCGCACGGGACACTTATATTTGGAGCACTCACCATTCACACGCTTACTGGTGACGGAAGGGCGGTCCTTCTCGCCATTCTGTGACTTAACTCCTCCCACCTTCCTAGGTCTGTGACAGCTGCAGTGACCACTTCCATAAGTTGGATTTTATCCCTTCTGATGTCATGGAAAGAAGGGAGGTGACCTTGATGGAAGCCATTTTTTGTGCTGGCCACTGCTCTAAGCAGTTTGCATATACAGTAATACCTTGGTTTGTGAGCATAATTCATTCTGGAAACCAGCCACTCGTATTGCAAGACATCGCTCGTTTACCACGTTAAAATGTATTAGAAATGTTTGCTCATCTTGCGGAACACTCGCAAACCAAGTTACTCGCAATTCAAGCTTTTACTGTATACATATTTTTTTCTTTTTGCAAATGCTCGAGCTATAAGCAACCTTGGGATGCACAGGCAGCTGTATTCATTGTTGACCTAAGAAACAGATTCTCAGAGGTTATGAAACGTGCTCAAGGCCACACAGCTATCTGGAAGAATAGTCAGGATTGAAAAGTAGGCCTGTGGGACTCTAAAGTATATATTTCTGATGTAATGTGACCATGAGCACGGTTCTCCAATAAGAAAGATGTCTAGAGTGGTAATTAAATCATAATTCAAGTTGTAGGGGAAGCGTGGCCTGATGGGTTTTGATGCAGTTTGTGGCGAGACGTGACAAGGAAGATCTGCAGGCAGAAAAGCTGCAGAAAGTAGGACCTGTGGAAAGGAGGTGATGAGTAAGATGATGTCAGCGAGTAGAGAAGACTGTGGGTCATGTCTCAGATCAACAAGGGCTGGGGGCTGAGCGATGGAAGGGAAACTGTAAAAATGGGTGCCAGTGGTTTGCAGACGCTGCCCCCACTTTGAGATGCTAGCTCTCTCAACTGCCCAGAGCCATAGCCAGCCACTTCCCCAGTGTAGAGTCAATGTCACCTTCAGTGTTTTTGCTTCCCTATAGCAAATAGGACAACTGTGGTCACCTCAGAAAAAAAAATGGGGCAGAGACAACACTGGCGCGCTCCATGGTGGGGCTTGACAGTGAGCATCTTCCCAATGGCTGCTGCTTCGACTTCCTGGTGTTCTTAGATTGATCCCCTGTAGACCAACAAAAAAGGCTCAAGAGCAAGATTCCCCTCCCGTTTCTGTCGTTGTTCCCTGAGTGAGCTGATGAGGAATCCACGCTAGAATGGTTGAGAAAAAAAACCTAAGGCAACATAAGAGAAACTACGGTTCCCCCCTCCCAGGCTAAGGATGCTTTTTCCATTTTCTTTTGAGCTCATGCTTTGATAAGTCTATAGTTATCACATTCCATGATGAAATAAGGACACTGTTCCTTGGCTTATAATTATATTAAAGCTGTTTCTCACACACAATGTACCAAAAAATAAAAAAAACATTAGTGGTGAGTGGGCAGATTTAAAAGGAAAATGCACATATACATTGAAAATCATTAGGAAAATATATATTATATAGATATCTAATGCCCTTCTCACCTTCCTAGTATACCTTTTACTGCTACTAATACGTTCTATTTTTAACTCTTAAATGTAGAGATGTCTTCTATGTGAATATGTATATACACATATTTATACCTAAGTATGTATTTCCTTTTATAAAGCATTTCATATATACTTGCTTTTTGTCTTCATACTTGCCTCTCTGGATCTTTTCCGAGTGTCTTGTTTTGTCAGATAAGAGTAAGTTCTTTAAAAATGTGTAAAAATGCTTGGCATACGTGGGCTCCTTTTTCAAAACTGCACATGGCTCAGCCCACCGCCTGGCTCCATGAACAGTAGCGGAGGCGCCCTACCTCACAGGCACGGCTGCTAGAATTTTCCTAAGTACGGGTGATGGGTGACTCGATGTTTTTCCTGCTTCATCTGGCCCTTGATGCTTATCACTGGTTCACGTAATTGTGCAGTGAGTATTGATGGAGTGGCTGGCCTGCGCTCGGTGCCGCGCGGGGCAGTGACAACGCAGATTCCTGTGGGGAGGTCGCTGACCTTGAAGAGCTCAGTCTAGTGGGGGAGATAATGATCATTTATTGATAGATGAAATATATTGAATGCCTACACTGAACGTGACACTCTGCCTAGTGCATTTTTACATTTCCTCCTGTTTAATCCCATCAACAATGTTTTGAGTGGGCGCTACTCATGGCAATTTTTTATACAGAGGGGAAACTTAGCTTGAGTAGCTTTCCCAGTGGCACCAAGATGATAGGTGACACCACTGGAATTCAAGGTCATGTCCCTGTAAAGTCACAGCTCATACCCTTCCTCGTATTGTTGAGCCAGCTGATACTACACCTGTTTTTTCCTCTTGATGTCAAGTTGGAACCTGTCTCCATGGGGAGGAAGTGTGAGCATGCCTATACTATTTGTATGTGGCCACTAGGCGTGTTGATGGGTATCCTTGAAGCTTTGGTAACTGAACTGTGTCACCCATTTGACACCATCACTTGGGATCACTCATTGGTCATGTCTGGTAACGCATCATAATTTATTACACTTTCCTCTGTGTCTCCTCCTTTAAGTACTGGGAATTAATATGCCCTGGGCTGTGCTGGGCACTATGGGTAGAAGACACTGTGTTGATGACACATGCATTGTCTTCAAAGAGCTGGTAGTCTCCTGGAGAAGGCAGACACGTGCAAAAGAGGATGCCCTGTGGCTAGTGGCGTAGGAAGGGGAAACAGGAGATTCTGCTCAGGGCTGGGTGGGCAGGTGGGAAGGTGAGTGGAGTAGCAGCAGGGCCTTGCAAAGTTTCATGGAGAAGGTGACATTGGAGCCAGGCCTGATCAGGGGACCAGGCTTTTGCTGGGGAGAGAAAAAAACAGTTGTGATTTCCAGACACAGGGAACATCATTTTTGCCAAATTTGTGAAATGAGGCCAGCAATAACGGTGACTTACTCCAGGTGCTTCAAACACATTATTTTTAGTTGTCACAACACCCCTCCAAGTAAGGCTTCCTTTAAATCACTGTCTGAGAAAACGGAGGTGTCAAAGCCATGTTAAGCAAGGGTCTGTCACATCTCAGTGTGTGCTAGATGCAGGAGCCAGGCTGCCCCTACTGTAACCACACTGGAAGAAGCGAGCTTTCAATTCCTTTTCTGCGTGGCTGCAGCGGGCAGCACCGCAGAATCAACCTGAGAGAATGAGGCCTGGGAGAAGGAGCACAGCTGAGCTCTGAGGGGGTTCCAGGTGGTTAGGGTCCCCGACAGCTGCTCTGCCCTTGTATATCTCCATAAAGGAAAATAGGACTTCGTTTGTGACCACACGGGGTTTTCCGTCTCTGCTCACCAAGGCGGTATTTGGCATGCATGCATCAAAATGTGTCCCAGTCCCTGGCGATAGAATCTTGTCTCATGTGACACGAAATGGGGTTCTAAAAGTCGG